TTCAATATGTATTTCACAGTAGCTTAATGCTATACAGAGGTTGAATGTATAAAAAATAAACAAAAAATTTTAAAAGATTTTATTTGAAAGGCAGCCAGATGATATGGTGGCTAAGGTGGCTGGATTCCATATGCAATCCCTTCTCCACCATTCTCTTGGACTTTGGGCATGCCTGGTGTGATTTCCTGGACCTCTCGAGGTCCAGAACTCAAACCACAGTTTCTGCCATGTGGGCTCCAGTCACTTTAACCTCCACACCACCAGTTGGCCGGAGATATTTCTAAGTGTACATGAGAGGCACTTGAAGGAGGACCAATGGCTTGAGCACAAGAACTAGAAATAGGGGCCAGCAGGTGGTGTAGTGGTTAAGGCATTGGACTCCCATGTGCCTGACCACAGTTCAAGTCCCAGACCCAACAGCTCAAAACTCACGCCAGGTACATGTGCATGCATGCCGAAACACCCAAGAGAAAAATGGAGGAGAAGGGATTTCATGGCCATCACTCTTGGGGAGTGATTTCTCACTTTCTGTCACTCTCTGTCCCTTTAACAAGAGCATATTCCATATAGCATAAAAACTCTCAATAAAAGAACTGGAAATATATTGACAGAGTTCCAATCAAAGCCCATCTTTTACTTATTCTGTAACTTAAGGCCAATCGCTTAAACCTTCTGAGCACCATTAATACAAATGTAGAGTGAGGTTGATATTAGTACAGACCACAAATTTTTTTAGATGCAGTTTCCCCATGTTTAGGAGACTCGAAATTATATTAAGTGGGGACATGCTATGTCTGTCTTTCATAGTCTGGATTGCTTCACTTAGTATTAAATCTTCCATATCTATCCACTTTCTAGCAAATGGCAGGGTTTCATTGTTTTTTATGGTTGAGTAGTATTCCACAATGTACATGTGCCACATTTTTTCAATTCACTCACCTCTTCTTGGGCATTTTGGCTGATTCCATCATAGCAATTGTGAATAATGCTGCGTTAAATAAGACTGGGCTTTTATAAAAACTCAATAAGGGAATTCTTAGAAGTTGCTAGTTGTTGGGGAATATGTATAAAAAGAGCCAAACGTATTTCTTATAATTACCAGATATTTTATAAATCCACTACTTAATGACAGCTCTTAACTTGTGTTACAAATATGATATTCATTTTGACTGGTGCCCTTTGTCAAAAATCAGTTGACTGTACATTTTGGGGTTTATTTCTGAGGTTCCTATTCCATTCCACTGTTTAATATGTATGCTAAAATAATACATAGTTATTAAATGTATAAAATAAAAAAATTAAAAAGATTATATTTGTTAGTGTTTTGGTAAAAGCATTAGAAAGCCAGAGTATGGTACCAATGACTTTATATCAAACGGACACTATTTTCTCTCTTGTTGATGAGAAGGCATAAATAACTTATTAGAGATATCAGGGGTCATTTCCCACCACAGTTTCCTTAGCCTTAGAGTTTGGAGAGAGCTTTAACTCAAGGTTTGACTAGGTGGTAGGAGGTTAACCCTTTGGAAGACAGGCGAATGTATGGAGAAGGCAAAACAAAAACTGGATTCCCATTATTTTTAACCTGGTGTCTTGGGAACAGAGAATCTGAAAAAAAAATCATTTTGTGTAGAGTAATGTCCCAAAGGGCAATTTTGTGCTCAGGATTGGAATGACAAGGGAGACGTGTGTCTAATGAGTAGATAAAAGGAACGGTTAAGATCAGCTCTCCTGTGCAATCTTGGGCAGAGTGGAATATTGTTTCTTTGGGAGTTCTAAATCCGGCTAGGGTATTCATGCTTGACCTCTTTCTGCTGTCCTGTCTGGTCACAGAATTTTAGTCTCCATCATCAACCATTCACAGAGGAATTCACGCTTACACATGGAGCCCTTTTTTTGAGAAAACCCATATAGGTGAGTTAGAAAATCTGGTCAGTACTTAAGACACATTCAGAGAAAAAGGATGTAAGCTGTGCTTGGAATCACCTGAGAGCCCGTGGGCTTGCCAGAGAGAGAGAGAGAGAGAGAGAGACAAAGACAATGAGAGAGAAAGTGAGAAATCACCGCCCCCAGGGAAGATGGCCATGCCGCAATTCTTTCTACATTCTCCTCCTGGGATCTAGGGCATCCAGACAAATGTGCCTGTTGTAATTTTCAAGCCACCAGATCCAGGACCTGAGTGTAATCAGCCACATGGAAGTTCAGTGACATAACAACTATGCCACCTGCTGGCTCTGTGTGGGTTCTTAAATCATGGTTAGTCAGATAAAATCTGGCTTCTCCTGAACAGTGCATCACCAGGTGCCCATAAAGCCAGTCCTTGAGCTGTTATTTTTGAAGGTACCATCAGGTCCTCTATAATAATGTTAGTCCTCTAAATATAGTTACAGATAATGGAGGAAAAAAATCTTAGTGCAGACCAAAAAAAAAAGAATTAACTAGTTAAATCAACATTAAGTAGGCACAAGAAAATCATCTCTCCTAATAGTTGACATTAAAAATGTTTATATTGTGTTATTCTGTGTATATTTCCTCTTATGAATTTTTGCTTTATTTCTCCTCCTCTTTTTTTTCTTTTTCTATATGGATTTAAATCTCTAAGTGTCTTGGTACCAAAAAGATGTCATTCCTTTTGTCCTTGGAGAAATTAGCTTTTGATCTCTTATTGTGTTTGATTGGCCTCACGAGTATATAATAGAGGTTGAAATGTCTTCAAAAGTAATAAACTTTTTCTTCCCTAGATTCTCTCAGGGACCTCCTGGGCTTGTTAGATCTTCTTTTTTCCCCCTCAGGTCCAATTAATTCTTCTCTCATCCTATTTTTTGGCTAGTTTTTAATATATTTTTTAAACACAGGAATGGAAATGTCTATACATATCTATAAAAGTGATGTCCCGAATTTACATGTATATGAGAGACTTATGAACTGGAATTTCTGGGTATCATTTCTATAGTCTGTTGAAGAAAGATACTTTGATATTAACAGCATGGCTTGTATTTCTCTCTTTCTAATCATGTGGCTGGAGCTGAGAAAAACATGGTATTCACATGTCCCTCTGGACACCACATTGTACCACACATGTACACATGCTCTGTGTGTGCATGTATGTGTGAGAAGGAACACATGCATGCCTTTAGGAGTGAGATCAGATTTCAGTGAAAGGAGACTTGAACTCAATATGTTTGAAAGATGACTTTTCATAGAGAAAGGGTCTTCAAGCTTTCATCATTTTCATAATGAACATTATGAAAAAACTATGCATAGATTTCAATTTTTTGTACCAAAATAAACCCTAGTTAACTCTGTTTTTCAATAACCTTTCAAAATCCTCTCATAGAGGTCAGCATTCAAGGAAACACATGGAAATAAAAAGAAGATGCATTTTGGTTTTGTTTTAATAATGCTATTCTGTCATTTGTTTTCTTCATTAATGGCATTAAAGATCTTTCATAAGATAACTACTTTCACAGCTTTATCAAGGTGTTATAATTTACTATTCTCATGGTTGAATCACTAGGTTATATTCAGTTTTCACTCTTACAAACAAGGCTGAAGTTTGTGTCTCTGTGTGTATATTGTATACACACAAAAACACCACAAGACCTGAAAGGAAATATACCAAAATGCTAACAATAATTCTCTCTATATAATGAGCATTTTTTAAAATGATAAACATATTTTTGTAAATAATAAAATAATAAAATGATCTTTTTCAAAAGAAAAAAAAAGGAGACAGTTGAATTTCAATTCACAGGGCACCTTTTCAGCCAATTAAATAAAGCACAGTGAAAGCCAGCAGGTGGCATAAAAAGGCACTGGACTCCCAAATGGCTGACTGCAATGTGAGTCCCAGACACAACGGCTTGAAAAACATGCTGGGTGCATGTGCATGTTTGCCAAAAATCCCAAGAGGAGAATGAAGGAGAAGAGATTGTGATGTGGCCATCTCTCCTGGAGGTGGCTTTTCAATTTCTCTCTCTCTGTCTCTCTCTGTCTCTCCCCAGCAAGCACCTTAACTACCACTCCAACTGTTGGCCCCTGTTTTTCTTTATAGTACCTGGAACCATTCACCATGACTATTTCTTTTTTCTTACATTTAAAATATTTTTATTGACATAATATTATACACATTTATAGGATACAGTGTAATTTTTCAGTACAAGAATATAATGTGTGATGATTAAATCAGGGCAATTAGTGTGTGTGTGTGTGTATATATATATATATATGACTATTTATTTATGTTTGCTTTTCTTGACTTGTGTTTAATTTCTCCATGATTAGAATTTGGGGACATTTTACTTTTAGCACTGCTCATTCATTACCTAGACAGTGCCTGGACCATGATCATGACTCAAGTTAAATTCCTCAAATGCGTGAAAGGATTTATCTTTCAAATTTTTGAATGTATGACCTCTTGTGAAATGTGGAAAACAGAACATGGCTTTTGAATCCAAGATGGCAAGAGAAATCCTCTAACGGCTACAGATCCCTCTACGAAATGCAGAAATGAGTGTCTTGACTATAGAATGTAAATAACAGAATCTCTGCCAGGCAAGGGATGTGTGTTTGTATTGTGTTCTCTTTCTCTTCTTTTGGAAGGCACATTGACCACATGGAGCCAGGAAACGACACACAAATTTCGGAATTTCTTTATTCTGGACCGCAAGCCTTCCTCTTTGGATTATTCCTGTCCATGTACTTGGTGAACTTGCTTGGAAACCTGCTCATCATCCTGGCCACCACCTCAGATTCCCACCTGCACACCCCCATGTACTTCTTCCTCTCCAACCTGTCCTTTGCTGACATCTGTCTCACCTCCACCACCGTCCCAAAGATGCTGGTGAACATCCAGACACAGAGCCAGGTTATCACCTATGCAGGCTGCATCACCCAGATGTTCTTTTTCATACTCTTTATAGTGTTGGATGACTTTCTCCTGACCGTGATGGCCTATGACAGGTACATGGCCATCTGTAACCCCCTGAACTACATGGTCATCATGAACCCCTGGCTCTGTGGACTGCTGGTTCTGGCGTCTTGAATCCTGAGTGCTCTACATTCCCTGTTATGAAGCTTAAGTGTTGCAGCTGTCCTTCTGTACACTCCCAGAAATCCTTCACTTTTTCTGCTAACTTATACAAGTGGTCTGCCTGGTTCTGACACTTCTTAATGATATGATGGTGTATTTCACATCTGTGTTGCTGGTTGGTGTTCTCCTCGTTGGTATTGCTTACTCTTACTGTAAGATTGTTTCCTCCTTACGAGCAATGTCGTCAGCTCAGGGGAAGTATAAAGCCTTATCCACCTGTGCCTCTCACCCGCCCATTGTTTCCTTATTTTATTGTACAAGTCTAGGTGTGTACCTTAATTGTGCTGCGACCCATGACACACACTCAAGTGCAACAACCTCAGTGATGTATAGCGTGATCACACGCATGCTGAACCCCTTCATCTACAGTCTGAGGAATAAAAGCATAAAGAGAGCTCTGAGAAGATTCTTCACAAGAAAATCATTAAAGAACCACTTTTAAATGTTCTTTTTAAAAGAATTATTTTATCTTGGTTATTATTTATTATTTTAACTTGATCAGAGAGAGACAGAGACAGAGAAAGAGGGAAAGTGAGCCATCAGGGTTGTGCCCCGGGGCCATTTTTGGCCATGGGGGAGTCCAGCACCTTAACCACCACACAGCCAGTCATCCCCAAAATGGTCATTTTTTAAAAGAAGTAGCTACCATCGTGAGACTTTAAGCTTGGAGCCAGATATTAATTGACACAGAAATGAATAATTATCTGCTGATGATAATGTAACAGTAATGTCTTTGTCTTGACTAATACGTATTGTATTCATATTGGCAAAAGCAAGGTTGTATACTGTAAAAATGTATAGTGATTAAATGTAAATGAAAATTATAGTAAAAATAAAAAATATTCTTTAATCAGATCACAGAAAAGGATCCTACCCCTTCTGCCTTATTTATACCCTAAAGCCTCAGTTCCTTTATTTTCAACCATAGCCCCTTTCAGTACATTTCTTCTCTCTGACAGCCAATATTATTTTCCTTGGTTGTTTGTCTACTTTCCCAAAGTTATTCTCAAATTTGCATCAGAAACAATTTTGAGATTCTCAGTAGTCTCACTCACGTAATAATGAGTAATACTAGTTCTATGGAATAAACTATCCTTTTTAAAATTTTATTATAGAAGAAATTCTGAGACTACAGTGTTTTGTTTTCTGCTTGAACATTTCCAATGATGCCTGCAAATATAGCTCATGTCATTGCCCTAAACGAAATATCTCTCCTTTTTTAAAAATGTGTCATTAACTTAGAACCAGCAGATGGCATAATGGTTACACTGCTGGACTTCCATGCAGTCAACCATGATTCAAGTCCCAAACCTGGCAACTTAAAACTCACACCAGGTGTGTGAGCATGAGTTCCCAACATCCCGAGAGGAACATGGAAAAGAAGGAATCACAGAGTGGCCATACCCCCAGAAGGTGATTTCTCACTTTCTGTCTCTCTGTCTCTCTGGAGAGCACATGCACCCTAGAGCAAAAAATCTCTCTAAAAATTTTTTGTCATAAACTTTAACGTGCAGGGGACTGAAAAATTGGAGGACTTCAAAAAGTTTGTGGGGAGGATGAAATTCATGTAAAAGTTTATTTTGATGCAAAAAGATATTTTGAAATCTATGCATAGTTTTTTATAACACTCATTTCCTATGAACTTTTCAAAGTCCCCTCCTAAGTGTATTTATGCTATGATAAATTTAATTTTATCTTTTATGTTGTAAACTATCTTCAGTGTTGGTGACTAAAGCATGACACACACAAGCATGAGAATCCTGCTCAGTAATACCTCTCAAAGTACGAATTTTGATTCAGGGTCACAAATTATTCCTATATAAACATGTATGTCCTTCCAACCTCTCTTAGTTACCTAAAGTGGAATCTCACTAGTAATTACTTTTTAATATACTGTCTGAAATAAATATAAACAACCATGTAATCATGAAGTCTGCCTTTAGATATCATAACAAATACCAAATAAAAGAAGGAGCAGTCAATTTTGAATGTTCTCAATTCTGTTCATATGAATTATTGTATCAGTAAGCTACTGCTGCATAACAAGTCATTTTAAAATAAGTGGTTTATGACAATGTTTTTCTTTTCTATCACATAGTCATCTATTGGGGGAAGTCTTCTGGTCTCCCCTTATATCTTTAGTCAACTATGAGTCAGCTGAAGGTGCTTTGCTGAGTTCTTCCACATTTGGAGAGTTTCTGTCTGCAGGGTGGGTGTCCGTTGTTAGACCAACTGGGCTGTGCTCCACATGGCATCTTATCTTGCAGGAGGCTAGTCTAGACTTATTCTCCTGTCAGAGTTATAAGAGCAAATTCTGGGTTATCTGTTATGTTTCATTTATCTACATTTTTTATTTTTTGCTGTTGGCTGGTTTGTTTTTAAACTTTGTTTAGGGATCAGCAGATAGATAATGGTTACATCACTGGACTCCCACGTGGCCAACCATGGATCAAGCCCCAGATCCAGCAACTTGTAACTCACACTGGTTGTGTGTGTGTGTGAGAGTGCCAAAAATCCAAAGAGAATGGAGGAGAAGGGATTGTGGCTTGACCATCCTCCCTGGAAGGTGATTTCTCACTTTCACTCTCTTTCTCTCTCTCTGGTGAGTGCACACAATCTAATGCAAAAAAAAAAAAAAAGTTTGTGGAAAATGGGAGTAAAGTTCAAGTTCAATTTGGTGCCCAAAATATTGAAACCCAGGTATAGTTTTTTCATAGTACACATTTTCTATGAACTCTTGAAGATCCATTGTACAGAGAGTACGAGGCTGAGTAGTATCCCATAGTGTATATATGCCACACAATTTTCAAAGAATTATTTCTTTATTGAATTCCATTTGTCATTTTTTTAAAATTTAACCAGAGAGAGACAGAGAGAGAGAGAGAGAGAGAAAAGGAAAGTGAGAAATCAAGCCATCAGGTCCAGGACTCAAATCGCTGTCAGCTATGTAGGAATCCAGTGCCTTTAACCATTACACCATCTGCTGGCCCCTTGCCACATTGTTTATAAATCCAGGAATCCATTCTTGGGCATTTAGGTTGATTCCATGTCCTAACAATTGCAAATAGTGCTGCAATAAACATGGATATGCTAGTGTCTTTCTGATTAAGTGTTTTCCTATTCTTTGGGTAAATACCCAAGAACAGTATTAATACATCTTTGCTTTTATACAAAGATCATCTTGCTTTTGTTACTATATATAATTTTGAATCGGGAGACATAGTATTTATAATTCTGATTTTTACTTCTTTTTTAAAAGAATTATTTTATTTAACTTTATCCACTTATTTCTTTATTTTAATTTGACCAGAGAGGAACAGAGTGAGAGTAAGAGAGAAAGTGAGAAAGCAAGCTGTCATGGAAACCAGCAGTTAGTGTAATGGCTATGTTGCTGGACTCCCATGTAGTCGACCGCGGTTTGCGTTCTGGACCCGGTGGCTTAAAACTCACGCTGGGCGCGTGTGCGTGCATGCCCAAGATCCTGAGAGGAGAATGGAGGAGAAGGGATTGTGGCGTGACCATCCCCCCTGGGGGATGATTTCTCTCTTTCTGTCTCTATGTCTCTCTCTGTCTGTCTGGTGAGCGCACACACCCTATAGCGAAAACCTTTCCAAAGAAAAAGAAAGAAAGCTGTCAGGTCCGTGACTCAAACCTCAATTGACCATTTGGGATTCCAGCACCCTTACCCACCACACCATCAGCTGGCCCTGATTTTTATTTCTTGATATATATTGCTTTGGATATTCAAGGGTTTTTCTTGTATATGTGTGGTTTTATTAGGATTTTCTTAACCTTCCTAGATAATATGTGCTATATATATATACATACATATATGTATTCAAATACTGTATCTCACAACAGATTGCAAAACTACTTTTGGCTCCACCTAGTGGCACAATCGGTAGCAAACTTTGGTGCTGGAAGCGACATGACTGACTACAGGTTTGGAGCCCTGGATCAGCCTGCAAACACACTAGGTGCATGTGTACATGCCCAAGATTCCAATGAGCTCGAAGGCTTTGGAAAGGAGATCATGATGTAAGAAGATCTGCAGAGGGTGATTCTCTTTCTCTAATACACTAACATGTGCTATGACAAAGAAAAATATATTTTGTAAAAACCAGATTTGTTTTATTTCTAATTCTGTAAAGAACGTTTTTGGAATTGTGATAGGATTAAATTATGGCTCTGTACAAGGGTGTCTTCAAGAGTTTATGGAAAATGTGCAGGGGACCAGCAGTTAGCGTAATGGCTATGTCGCTGGATGCCCACGTGGTCGACCGTGATTCATGTCCTGGACCTGGTGGCTTAAACTCACGCCGGGCACGTGTGC